ATTGGGGCCGAGTTTATTATCATGGAAAAATTTAAAGGGTTCCATTGTCCTGAGTCTGGGGAACGACGAAATAACCCCAGAAGCTCCTAGTGCTTCCTGCCATGACACGTCTCCAGAAGCAATGGCTGAGCGTTTCACTCTCATATTACGGCAGCTTATACTACACAGGAGACGTGCAGCCACAGGCAGGCAACCAATATATCAAGGATGGCAAGGCGTTCAGAACTTTAGAGTTTGTTATTGGGCCGGCTACAGGCCGGGATTGGTTTGATGCAGGCCGATCAATTTTGGACGTCGAGAAAGGGCCACGTACGTCGCGGCTCGTATTATCTTCGTCCAGCCGCTGATCAGTTTGCAGGCGCTTCTATTACGCAGTTTCTGCAAGCAATTTGGACGCGAGAAATGAAGGCGATCAAGACTTTGAAACTTCCGAAACAGATTGCTTTATTTTGTGGCCCAAAGCTCTACCGACCAGACACGGAAAAGAAGATTACTGCTCTAGCATGGTACCGACACATTGTTGACGTCCTTATCCCAAAAAAAAACTGCCCTCACCACCCCTTGCCTCTGGCATAATGATTTGGACGATGACAACGTCTTCGTAGACGCGCATAATCCCAAAAAAATTACGGGTATCATCGACTGGCAGTGTTGCCACATCTCGCCCCTCTTCAACCACAATCCCGATCCAACCTTCCTCGAGTGGAACGACCTTGAGCCTGAGACACTCGATCAGGCACCAAGACCGAAACTCTCCAGAATTCCCCCAGAAGAACGGTCCGCAGCTTTACACGCGTATGCCATCCAAAACGTGTTAATTGTATGGCGGAAACTCATGCATACCAAAAACCCAGACTTATATCAATTGGTTGAATTTCGAAAGACGGCAGCGTACGGGTTAATATTTCTTGCTCATCGAATGTTCGGTGTTCGAGTACGGCGAGGCACGCTCCCAATCGCTTCTGGTCGATTCGAAGGACACGTGGGTGGACTTACCTGCCTTCACCAGCGACATCTCGTTCCCATTCGAATTTTTAGAAGCAGATGTCGAGCGTATCAAAATAGATAGCGATGGCGCAGTGGCAGGAACCGAGCTTATTGCGGAGGCCAAGGAAAAATTGGTGATTTGTGGCCGGACAAAGGCTTCGTCGAGCACGAGCGATACGATGATTGCAAAGCCGCCCTTCAAGAAGTCAAAGGTCAGATATTGGAGCAATTGGCTGAAAACGACGAAGAAAAAGCAGAGTACGAGCGTTATTGGCCATTTCAATGATCTTTTTTGTATCGAGAAAATGGCATGATCGTGAGGAACGGTGAACGAAACCATGGGCAACAGGGAAAATGTACTAGTTTACCTTGCCACTAGGCTGAACACAGGTGGTAGAAACAAATCAGTTTTCAAGATAAGAGTTGCCATTGATTCAGGATGATGACCCATTCAGATTTGACTAGGAAGATTGCCTACACATTGGAGATCAGTGAGCTTAGCCTGGGGGCCGGTGCTCTTCGCGCGTGATTGTTCTTGAGTCAACGAATTACATGAATTAAGGTAAGAGTAGACTGAATAGATTGAACACTGAGCATCTAAAGAACTAGAGGAGCTTTTGGCAAATATGTTGAGGACCAAGCTCCGCGTATCGCCTGAGCCGATTCGAGCGGGTAAATGCTCCAAAGAAGATTTGGTACACCAGCGCAATGCAAACCGTCCCAACCAGGTCTTATTGTAGAAAGACCGAAATCAAGTGATTTGATTGATTCGCGGAGTACGTTTGACCGCACACGCGTCTCTAAATTATATTCGGTAATCATGGAACCAAGGCACTCACACAGCCCTCCTCTCCGGACTTTTGCGAAAGCAAAAGGCTGATCACCGGGGAAGGGCTCAAACTAATTTGCATTACACTCATGTTGTAACTTCTTAGCTGGTCCTGGTATGGTGCGAATGCTGCCAAATGTCTTGTCCCAAACTATTTGGGGCCGTCAAAGAATTTGTTAGTGATCCATCGATCGTCGACAGATATTTCTCGGAAACTGTTTGAATCCAAATGAGGCTAAGCTCTCAACATTTCTGTGATATATGATAAGAAGCTTGACTTTGACGAATAGAAGGCTGGGAATTAATATGATTGATCATCTCATCGGATTTTGATTTATTCCCGCTCACACGGGGATCGAACTATTCCCTTCTAGGAAAGTAATTTTGGGATCCCAAAAGCTGTGGTTTTGCTTATTGACCTTCATTTGTTCAACCGGAAGCAATCATACAAAGAGACTGACCTAAGCTATCCTCCAAGCCATGACAAGTTTTACTTAAACACATGATGATCCAACACACAAAATTTTAAGATCTCCGATACCTCATGTGGATTTGATATGTACTACCAAGCAAGCTGTATAAGTATCAAATACAGGTGTCTATCTGAAGCTAACATATTGAACAGAAAATGAGAGTTCTGCACCGGAGGATGTGACGAGGAAGGGAGACAACATGTTTTGCTCCCCTACAAGAAACCTCCCATTAAACTTACCTCGTGGTCTGCTCCAAGATCCCGGAATCGAAAGCGATAATTTCATTTGATAGCATATGTATGATAAGAGCCTTCTGCCTCATTTAAATATCCATGCATACTCTGGCCGTTTGGCGGAGCACATGAGGAGAGATGGTATCTGCTCGGTTCAAACGCATTTTGTTGTATCAAGTATCGTGTTGCTACATGTACGCTAGGTAAAAGAAAACAAAACTGATGCAATTCAATTTGCTCTTAGTGGTACCAACTGACATAAAAGTAATGATCCCCCGAAAAACTTTTAGGGGCCGCGGAACATCTATGAACTTGGGTTGCAGCAATCCATACCTTTTGAGATACACTATTTGCATCCGAAGTCTGTTCTCCATATCAATGATGCGTAATCCATGTAGCTGATGATGTTAGGTTGAGCCTATAGAATAAGTATTGGGGGCTCAGAAGGATCTCCTAGGTTATGATTGGTACATAGCTACCACAACTGAAAGGTTCGGCGATGTAATCATGTGTGATCAATACGGCAAATTTTGACTGCATATGTATGACTATATTAAGTTATTCGGCAATCTTATTTTGTGAAACCAACCAAATTTCCTCTCATTGGTGCCTATGTGCCCATCTAGCCTTGCTAGAAACTGTCCTGATATAGATTTCGTGGCGGGAGCGCCCCGCGAAGCATCATTCCGACATGGCTGCGTATCATTCCTGACGGTATTGCGCCGGGGTCAACAACTTCACCTTATATCTGACATGCACACGGGGACCAATTTAATACTACCCGCAAGGCTGCTGCCGCGGCATTCTCTATATAAGGCAGTGGCACTCCCCCCCTCTGGGGACGTTTCTGTCAGACCCATTTCTTATCGCTCTTCCTCTGGTCCATCATTCACCCACTATAGCCTTCATCAAATCGCCGGTAAGCCCATGCACATCTCGATACGTGACAAAACCTGACCTGTCTATTGCCAGTTATACTACATCTCTGCCTTCTATTCCTTCATTCCAAGGTAAGGGTTCGATATTGTTTACACTAGGTGGCAAGTGACCACGACCAACATGATATGCTCACATCCATCAAGACAATATGCCTCAAGGATCGCCAAGCGTTTTCACGAGCTGCGCTACATTTGGATGCGCTGGAGTGGAAATTCAGCGCGGTCAAGCATGCCCTGAGGGATGTGGTTGGGTACGTCCTGTCAATGACGGGAAGTAATTGGCAATGAATGGGACATAGCTTGGGACTATTGGTGACGTTTTGCTCTTTGGTCTCTGCCTCGGTCTTTTCGTCATTATTATTAGCACTCTCTCCGACTCACTCTCTCGAGTCATGCCACTCCTTACTGTGCTCTCCCACTTTCTCGTTGTTGCTAGTTCTCTCTCCTCATGTTTGGATTCTTCGGTTTTGTGCCGCCTATAGCTATACAATAAAGAGAGAGATTGTTAGACCGCATTCTGGGCCATTACAACACTACCCCTCGCTTTTTTTAAAATGGAAGAAATTCGATGGTTTGTTTCTTCGATGTACACAACACTTGTACCCTTGTAAGGAACACCCGTTAGGCCTAAAACCACCCGGAAGCCCAATTGTAAATATAAGATAACCACGTCATATGCAACAACACAATACAAATCCAGGTATTTCTTCACGATTCACCAGTCAACCCACGGTGCCTAATTAGATACGCTTCAGACACTGGAATGCAAGAGTTGATCATACGAAGTGACAAGTTTTGCGATCGCTGAAAGAGAGAGTTTTACAGCTAAAGTGTATATCGGGAAACGTGCGGGCTTGCTGAAAATTGGAGTAGTAACTAGGGTTCTGAAAGGAATAAAAGAATGCGAATATGAATATATGAATTTTTTTGTTGAGATTTGTGATTGTCTGATTGATTCAGATTGACTTAAGGAGTTATATTAAACAGGGATGGGATGTCTCTTGTATCTGTTCCTAATCCCTGCCATCAGATTCAGCAACCGTGATATTGAACACATATTATTCATATTCGCAAATATTCATGAATAACCATGAATAATCATACACCTTTCGGATCCATAGTACTAGTAACTTGTGTCGAACCTTGACTTCTATTTTCTATAGATCATTCCTCCCTCTTTTATAGCGGCGACCTTCCTATCTCTTGTACCTTATCTTGACGGGCTCAGGCTACGACCGGCCTTCCGCTGATTCATTTTTGTCTCGATTGATCTAACCTGTCGCTTCTGTCGCTTTCTTTCTAGCCTTGGTTTCCTGGAACGATACGGTGTGCACGTACCAACTAGCTACCTATCGATAAATCACACCGCTAGTTACCTCTCCATTGGTGTTTCCTTCCCTTTCTTTTTCTCCCTCCTCCTGTACTTCTCCTATAAAACCCTACGAGCCAACATGTCGCACTCTTACTCTTCTTAAGTCCCAGAAGATTTTAATCACTATCCCTATTCTATTAACTGTCTTTCGCTTGATCGTATGTGGTTATGTCTCCCGGCTCAACATCTTGGAGTACCGAACAGGCTTTCCTGGAAAAATGTGACAGCCAAACCGCCGATTGTTTCCATCGAACGCAATGGAATGAGCTCTGTCGAATTGCTTCGGGTCTTGTCGGCAACTTGGAGTGCGTGGCATTAGACCAGGTTGCGAGCGGGCTCAACAATATTGTCCGTGTGCTGAAATTTTCCGACGAGACTCGCTGGGCGGCCCGGGTTCATATTATAAGGAGCAGCCCTCACGATGTCAGCAACACCAAGCTCGGGAATGAAGTTGCAACTATGAAGTTCATCAAGGAGCATTCCGAGCTACCAGTGCCTCGAGTTTTTGCGTATGAAGTTGACGAGAACAATCCGGTGGGCACAGCTTTTATACTGATGGAGCTGCTGTCCGGCAGCGTTGCTATGGACGCCCTAGGCGGTTACGAGGTCCATCGCGGTGTGATACCCAGACAGCACCGGCAAAACTTCTACCGTTCTGTCGCGAAGTGTCATGTGCATCCTCCCTCCTGGCCCGCAGATTCGCCATAATGCTCAGTCGCTAATCTCATAATCTAGGTCCAGTTGACTTCTTTACGGCTGCCCAAAATTGGAACGATTGTTCAGAATCGTGAGGGCGGGTTCGAATGTGGTCCCTTGCCAGGAATCGGTGGTCCATTCGATACAGCAACCGCATTCTTCGAGGCATGGGCCGACAGCGTCAAATTTAAGTGGGATAAAGCGACAATCACACGCATGATGCAGAGAGGTCCGATCTCGGCGGAACAGATGATTGCGACGATCGAGAACTTTCCCTCCCAGATTAAAGCGATAGCTAGCCGGCTGTCAGTGTGCAATGAAGGGCCATTCCCTCTGGCCCATGATGATTTTCTTCATAGTAACATCATGGTGGATGAGCATAGCTTCGATGTAACGGGAATAATTGATTGGGAAGGCGCATTTACAGTTCCCTGTGAGCTCATTTCATTCCCCGATTTTCTTGCAGTCATGCCTACCTCCTTTGACCTACCGGAGAAGTACGACCGGGATGGGCAGCCGTTGAATGAGAAACTACGAGAAAAGTGGCGCCAGCGAGGAGAGTATATCGATATGGTGAAATCAGCTGAGCTTAAGGATTGCCTGCTCTCAGCTTGCCTCAGCAGCAGGAGAAGCCAGGCTATAGCATATTTGTATGGGGCCTATGCTGGTTTTGGGAAGCTGGGTTTCTATGATCGAGTTATGGCAGAGTTAGAAAGGGAGGTATAAGCTTCCATCAGAAAGTGACCATTACTACTTGAACCTAACAGCGGTTATTTACATTCTAAATGAATTTATAACTTCAGGAATGGGGAAGCAAGTTCGAATACCGGGTTCAAGATTCATAAGAAAAAAGTTAGAAGCCCAAGGCCACTTCACCTGGAATTACAGCGAGATCAGGCCTGATTTTCACGCATTGCATCGCATACGGAGTAAAATTATTGCGGTAGGGAAAAAAAATTCAGACTTGAAGAGGTCTACCCTTGGGAGCCTTGATACGTATCTTGGGTGTTGGGTGTTGTGATGTGAGGTGTCAGGGATCCACATGGTGCATCTGGATTCCACTAAACGAGAGGGAGTTCTCTGTTTTGCTTTTCGCACTACATTTTGTATCTAGAGTCAACTATACCTAGCTTTTCTTAGTGTTGATTATTCATCCGGAAGACGATGTCCTGATCTACGTATACGTGAGACCCTCATATGAGTGAGGCTGGTGCAGATGGGATAGGCCACACCACTGAAGAATTTGCAGCTTATACTGTATACATGCCCTCAAGTAACCCCTTACGGATAGTTAGTTAATGCAATTTACTCAACTAAAACACTAGGGCCGGATTTCGTCTCAAGGACGTGAAGGTCTCAACTCGCAGGCTCAAGATCAGGGTTTGAGCTCTCATTGGCTCTAGACATATGGAAGGCCTCTGGATATATGTCAGACATAATGTGACCAATCGCTTTTCTGATCCTTCCGTGTTGTATCTTTGGGGCTGATGATTTGTACGAAAACAACTAGTGATAGCCACGCGGATTATCCATCAATCCGAAACCCCACTAGCATTCGCGCCTTTTACTGTGATCACATGATGAAATATATTTGTCCTGTTTGTCTGCTTTGACTAACGTACAATCCCCTCGGGCATTTTCTGACCCCTCCATCTAACTAACCCCTCCGGAAGTTTGTCCTTTTACTATACAGACACGCCGATCACAATATTGCGACAAACTTCACTAAGTCAGAGTGAGTCTATATCCCCCGTTATCAGCGAACACTGCTTATACAACACAATCTAACCTTCAAGCTTCCGTCAAAGAGTCCCAATCACTTCAGCTCGGCGTATCGACTTGGCGAATTTCCCGATGTCTCCTTCTTCCATCGATGCAGACAACCTTGAAGAATTACGATCGGTTGCCGGGTGGTTCAAGTATGCCGAAGTCGCCAAAGTCGAGAAGAAAGACGCCGCTGGTGACATTTTGAGATGTGTGGACAATGGTCGCTTTACAAAATGGGCGCCTTTTCTTGAAAAAATGAATTTGCACAAAGAGGTACCGCCACGATGTTCTCAGCACGACAAAAAAGCGAAATAGAAAAGAAATAGCTAACAAACCAAGGGTAACGGTTATGCGCTTTTGCGAATATTGGGAACAGTGAAAATTGAGAAGGAGAAGGGCTTTGACACTATATTTTTCCCTTTCCGGGATGTTGAAATTGCCGGGGAGAAAGTTCATTTCGGGGAATTCGTACGATTAACAGACACACAACTATTGACTACAACGTTGGACTGCCTGATCGTGGTTGTACCGGGACTTAAATCGGGATAAGCATTGTTTTTACTCTCGGGCATCTAAACAGCAAACATAAGGGAGACATCTATAACCAAGCAACACTTGTGTAAAGATTCGGAGAGAGCTTCACTGTAGTGTAGAGACGATTTGTTGAGGCGCTAAGTTTGTAAAGGTCGTGGTTAGGTCATTATAGGCTCCGGGTGGAACTCCAGGAACCGTGTTGGTATTATGGTGGTAACATGACTCGGAAACATCTGTGTGCATGGCTTGAGATATGATGAACTCGTCTGAAATTGTAGGATCGACGGATGATGATTCTGGGGCCATACTAGGTCGAAAAATATCTGTCGTCGTGGGAGCGGCGGTAAAATCTGAGCAAGACGCAGGATATATAGAGATTGCGCTCAGGGAGACATTTTGTGTTCTCTGTGGAGCTTGGGTAATAAAATCGGAGATGGAACTCGGGCAAATCGACGCGGGAAGACCGGATTCAAGGTGTGCACCTTGAAGCGATGGATGAAAACTGGAGTTGAAATCTGAAACTGAGGCAGGAGAAAATGATGTGTAGTTGAAAAGTACTGGACACCCATCATCTCTTGACGATGGTGTCCCATCTGTGAAGTCCGAAAAAGAAGAAGGTCGAAATGATGCATGCCTATTGGAGGGATGAATATTTCCAGAGCCCTTTAACCAAGATGCCGCTCCCAACTGGGTCGTCGGATGAGCCAAAGGTTGGTTTCCTTGACGCAGGATTGATTCAACAGTGGGGCTTTGTCGCAGGGTCTCGAGATTCTCGTCGACTGAGGTACGTTCGTCGTCATTCGTTGTAGCTTCGGCTGAGGAACGTAAATGTTCTGCATCACAAATGGGTTTCTCAGTCGTTCCCCCTTCCTGTTGCGATGTATGAATAGAGTACCTAGATTGTTGAGGGTCTTGCTGCAGAGAACCTGTTGAATGTCTCTCAATATCTATTCAGAGTTTGCCTGTTAGCGTACGGTTCAACATAGCTCAGAAGAAGCCAAAACAGACCCAAGCCAGACTCTGTGTCTTGGAAGACTTCCCATATCGTCTCCGTAAGTTTGTGTGCCAATATATCGAGGCTCCTCCTGTTTTCAATTTTTGAAAGACTGCTGCGATTTTTGAGTCGTGCGACTTCTTGCGGTCGAGGATCACGTGTCAAAGGTAGCTCTATTATACTGCAAGGATGTCAGTACGCAAGATATAATGATAGAGCAAAGAAAATTACCTATAATCGGCAACATCTTGGAGCGAGTAGAAAAGATTTCCCAGGTGGAAATACTGATCGAAGCGCTCAATGTTTTTGACACAGCCAATGTCCCGACACAGTTTGTCGATCCTTTTCCCTTCGTTAACCCATCCCAATAGGTCGGGGTTGGATGTCACCTGTGCCATGCGTTCTGTACGTCTCTGGCACATTTGATTCCAACCAACACACCCGGACAGGCGATAATACATTACTTTGAGAAGACGTAGGCGTATTTTATCCATCCCAGTCCGGTTGCCCAATTTTTGCATATAAGCGTTCATCCCATCGAAAGGGGAATCTGTCAATTCAAGCTGACTTTCGCCTTCATGGAAAAATGTTAACGGGTTGTGCGTCCAAGCCGATACTTTATCCATAAATTCCGTGTCAAGTATGAACTCGGTATCGAGAGACTTTGCGAGTTTTCGAACTTTTTTTGGGCGGTTGAGTTGTGGTCTGCCGCCGTTTTTTCTTCTCGTGTCGGGGTCGATCTTTTTCCTGGCCGTGTCCGGTAAGCCAGACCAAATATCGTGAAGTAAAGAAATAATCTTTTTGGCATTTCATTCATATTAGCTCTGGTTTGGGACGTCGTAATTGTATCAAAACTTACCTTTGGGTCGGTCAGTATAGCTTTGATCTCATTTTTTCCCGATTCCTCGGCATTAGAGCAAGCTTCAAACACAGCTTGAGCAGCCATTTTGCTGTCAGTCAGGCCCATATTGCTGCGTTTTCGAGCAGATCGGTATGGAAAATGTGGTCTCAAAGGGTCAGTGGCAAACGAAATAAATTATGGGATCGCAACGCCAGGAGCAGCTCTAGGGAGGTTCTGGGATCACATGATCTCAGCAATTTAGAGCGCTAGTGCATAATGTTTCATGTTCCTCAGTCCCCGGCGGCTATTGAGAAAGGGTGATTGACTGTATCAAAAATGATACTACCCATGGAGGTGCCGGTGCCTTTGCAGGCCGCATTTGATTGGAAAATGGTAGAGACCCGAATCCATGTTTGTCCAATTGCGAATCACTACATAATGCCACGCAATCTTCATCCATTACTGCGGTGGCGTGCATATGTGATGGACTAATTGTCGGTGCACGGACAATTAGAATGAACTTAATATGTTGATTACAGCGTTCCTTCCAAGTATCTGCCGCAAATGTGTAATCCAGCAAAGGCCTGGTCCCTTCTTGTAGCATGTGTAAGTTTGTGTATTTTTATAGAGTTGTTTGGGCTAAAGCCAGTGATATAAATATAGGTCTAACCCAAATACGGGAGTAGTGCGTATCAGGATGGTAGAACAGTACCATAAAAAATCAGGTGCTTCAACACCACTCTACATATTATGGCCTATCTGTGGACCTGATGGCTTTTGGTCTCCGTTGTCCCGAATTTGGCATCACGGGCATTGAATTTACATGACGGGGTTCCTAGCAGCTGGATACAAGTGCTTGATTTCATCCTCGCGAATGTAAGGTCCGGACCATTGACAAACCCACGAAAGTCACCTGTTTGGGGAAGTCTTATTCGGCACTCGCATAGGGTAGGAGAGCCAAGTGACGAGCACCTGAGTGACATGCAGAGGAAACGCAGGTTGAAATCGACATCGAAAGGGCCAAGAAAGGATATGATTGGTTATCTCCTGCAATTTTGATCCCCGCTCGCACGAGGATTTAGCTATCCCCTTCTAGGAAAGCAATTTTGGGATCCCAAATATGGTTTACAATGTCAATAGGTTCGGTTACCATTGGGCAGGTGACGGTATCGGATCAACTCGCGCAGCCCAATTCGACTTCCGCCCTTTAGTTGGCCTTGAATTTATGTATTGAAGCGCCAATGAGATTATGGCAGTGCTTACTAGTAAACATTTCATCCCATTGTGGTAGCTCGGCTATGTTATACATTTCTTCGTTTCTTCTGTAGTCCGCGATGTATATTCAGAAGCCTAGGTCTCTCTCAGGTGCAATATTGCTAAATGAATCATTTTGCCCACAAGAAGCCATATACATACATGTTTTGGATGGTGCAGACTGTTGTGATATGAGGCTGGTGCAGATCAGGGACCAAGCCGCACCGTCGAAATTAGCTCCGAAGTGTCTCTACAGACGACCAAGTTGATTGGAAATCAACTTGGCTCATTGTTGTATATATAGGCTCATGTATCCCTCTGAAATGATAATACAATTTATACCTCTGAGCAACAACACAGACAATTCTGCTTTGATTCTGAATCAACTCTCTCAGTAATACGGCAAATTACCGGGGATCGGACAGCAACATCACCACGCGTGCTGTGGCGTACATATGGAACCCCTGTAAATATGAAAATGGCGTCGTAATTTAACTTTTGGGCGGCCCTGGAAATGCACTAGGGTTAGTTCTAAGGGGGTTCTCTGGGCAAAATCCTTTACTCACTAGCTTCTACATACTGCTATCGTGTTGTCCCCCTTGACCTGGGGAGTATGTCTAGTTACAAATTGCAGGTGCCCCTGAAACTTTTATTTCGCGTGGAAAGAAATGTAATTTGGTAGCAGTCATGACCGATATTGAGGGTGTACCTAGTCCTTGGATATGGTATAAAGAGCTGTCCGACGACTCATCGAGTTCATGATTGTATGCTACAATAACATAGCACGAAATAACTGCCTTTTACTGTCACGAAACAATTACACTGCTCTAGGGACTGTATCAGCCAGTCATTACGGATCGTGCTTAAAATCGAACACAAAATATCACTTGAGCGGTTGATAATTCAGCTTCACCAGATTCAGCGCCGCGCTAACCGACACTGTATGTTCCAAGTTCAAATTCCTCGTATCTAGATCACCAGGTTTCCAATACGCTGGTTTAATATCAGAAAAAGGCATAATTTTATCTTGGATTTCGTGTAGTTACACAGGATAGGCTGAAGTGGAGTCATTTTACGCTGTAAAATCTGTACCGGCGCATTTACATAAACCTGCTGCTTCACTGCAGCGCTTGCGGCAGATTTGTTTGTTTCTCATTCCCCAAAAAAGGGCAAGTCACTTGGGGCGAATCAATACCGCATTGTTAGAGAACTGTCAAATACAGAAAAGGCGGCATCAACTAAAGTCTGGAAAACCGATTCCGAGGATCAAATCAATCTCTGGCCTAGGCAGTCCTCCAACCAATCATGTCGAATGGCCTTCAAAATCAAAAGAACTACCTCTTCCAGGATCTCATACTTCAAATAGAAAAAATACTAGTCTCGCCCAACTATGGTAGTTTGTTTAGCATGTCTAGAGTTTTGTAGGTGAGCAATTCACACTGCCTATACTTGAAAAAGTATGCATGTGTCTGCATGCTGAAATATCGTCCCTGGATGAACATCCAGTGCTGTGCATAGTGGATTTACTCTCACAAGTGATATAAATACACAACCACATTCGCATGTCCTATATCATGTATGACCAGGAGCTGGAAACACTTTCTCTCGGTGCTTGCATATGGCATTGTTTCATCCTTTATGTTACCATTCTGTTTTGCGTAATAACTTGTCGCCACATCCGAGAATCCTTGTTCTACGTATGTTTCCCTCGGGTTTTTCGATACACGGCTTACGATTGTTAGTGAGCAGTAACATACAAGTTGCAGTGTTGTAAATCGGTATTTCTCAAACCCTCCTTCCCCGACTTACTTCACACGGCATCACCGTGAGAGGAACATGGACCGAAGCGCTCCCTTTATCATGATAAGACGTGCACTTGAGTGGCTTCAGACTCACCAGGTATGAAGCCTTGATGATTTCACTTCATGTCTGACAGACTCAGGCATACCTGGGAACAGATTGTAAATTCCATTTTGCTCATAAAATCATGAATACAAAAACATCGTTACAGCAATGGGGCTTTACAGGCAACGGGACTACCATGTGTGGAATGGAGGTATCTGAGACAATGCCAATGTTTGGCGGGGAGATAAAGGTCACGAAACATGTTGTGATTGTGGATAGCCCCATTTGATTCAATATCATAGGACGAATGACATCAAGGATTGATCAAATTTTAAATACAGGATAGAATAGCGGAGATTTACAACCGGGGTCAAGAAATTTGCTGACTCCACCGAGATGAAGCTAAAGGCTCGACCAACTATAAAGCTTGGAGTTCCCAGCTGGTTTAACAGAATAAATTCGGTTTCATTCAACGCTTCTTTTCGAATTGCTACGACCTCCGATCTTCAGAAATCCCAATTGACCATGCAAGCTCGCGCTTATAGAGCTTGCGAGACCTGTCGCAGGAGTAAGAGTCGCTGCACTGGGGGACCTCCATGTGAGACTTGCCTCAAACGTGAAAGCCAGACTTGTGAATTTATCGCCACTGCACCTCGCAGTAAATCGTTTGGACAGAACGCAAGGCTGAACATCGATGCATGTCTCCGTTGCCGCAGAAAGAACGCAATTTGCACGGGAGGGCCGCCCTGCGAGGAATGCGTCGAGGGAAGTGACATGTGTTCATTTGATACTGAACGTCACAGAGAAGACCACCTACATAAAGGTCGCAGTTCAGCCTGCATACCGTGCCGCATACGGAAAACTCGTTGCACCGGCAGAGTGCCTCCTTGTGAAGCCTGTACTACCCGCGGGTCTGAAAGTACTTGCGAGTTTGTCAAGAGGACGAAAGGTGACCTCGAAACTACGACGATGCATATACAACATCAATCCGATAGCGCTGCCAAGCCATACTGGAATGACGTTACGGAAACAGAGCCAATACAACAGCATGAGAGCACCCTCAACGTAGGGACCGACAATGCGCGGTCACCCTACACTTTGACCGCGCATGGCACGAGGAGCGTACGTCGCAGCGAGTCACTCGGCTGCAGCGAACAACTTTCCACAAGCAGGAGTATAATCTCCCTGTCAGATTTGAGCGAAACTTCCAGCCTGGAACCTTCTGATTCAGATGGGAGTTCTCACGCATCTTCTCAGACAGGCTGCTCTTCATACGACGAACTACTCCACGTCCTTCCAAGCCGCCAGATGATCGATTCTTTGATAGTTAAATACTTTTCATCAATTTCCACGATAAATCTGGCCTACTAAGAATGTTGCGATTTGCTTATTCACAAAACATTAGTTATTTTGTGTCGTCAACGCTGCCCAGTTCGAAACCGAGTACGAGGCTTTCTGCTGCAACACTCAAGTTGGGACGCCATCTTGGCCATCTTTGCTTTTTGCAATCCTAGTACTAGGCTGTCGGGCTGAAGAAGATTCCAAAATACTCTATCTCTCCGACGACCTGTCGATTTTCTACGAGAAAGTTGCCTGGCACTGTTTGTTGACCAGCGACTCGCCGTCCGAGCCATCACTCAGTGCGTTGAAAGCAATCGTACTTATTATCTATGCTCGCACACACCGCGGGCAGGATGTATTCAGTGATCCACAACTGGCTTATCGCATGGCGGCTTCTACCAAAGGTCATATCGACAACGGGCAGCATGTGGTTGAGCCCACGGACAGCGAGGAATATCGATGCCTATTGACGGGCATGAAAACACTTTCCCTTCTCAATGCCCAAGTACACGACTACTACCGCAACCAGGATCTCATACAGGGTTTGCTCCCTCCAGCTGATATTTATGAGTCCACTGGAAGACCCAATCTATCACTGGGCGTTGAAGAATCACCTCCGCAGATGACTTTTACCATCTTGAATTTGCAACTTTTGAAAATATCTCATACGATCTTCATGAGCGCAGAGATTGGTTTCAAGTCCGAATGGAGCCTGCATGGACTTGAGACTGAGCTATTCCGCATGGAGAAACACTGCAGCGAGGTCTACGCCAACCTTGGTCAATTTGATTCCCAGTTGGGTTCTCATCAAGGCAGCCATGGTATACTGCATTGCTACATCAACTATCTGCTTCATCTTGTCTTCTTGCTTGATCTCAATCGATACCTAGATGGGGAAATTACACCTGACACACGAATATCTCGATCGAAGTGCATTACTTTTGCAAAGGCTTCGTTGCGGAATTTTAACCTTTTGGCTGAGGATATGGAGTGTAAATCTTATGCTTGGTATATTCGAGGTGTTGGAAGTTACTACGCCGAACGATCAGCACTTACCCTCACCAGATGCCTTGCAGGGTTTGAAGAAGAAGATCAAGACGGAGAAGCCAGGCGTATCCTGGACCATACGTTGGGAATATTCTCTGCATTATCGGACCGCAGTGTCTTTTCCGCAAGAGGAGCCTTCATTCTTGATGATCAATGTATGCCTATTCCATTCAATAACTACCCCTCCCGCCTTGGTCTCTGACTTCATTTCAGGAATCCGGATGGACACTCTTGGCAAGGAGTTATGGTAACTGAGCTTGCCGAAATTCTCGACGGTGAAGCACGTTCGCCGCATCGCCCAACATGGAAGATTCGATATCTCAATGTATTAGACAATATGTGTGCATTGTTTCACAAATATCCATAACCTCTTCATTTGCTTCTGCAATTCTCAATTCAATCTGGTAATTCTGCTACGAAAACCTGTACATCGCTCTCCATAATCTTCAAAGCGGCACATTAATGTAGATAGGCGTGGTTTCTTAATGGATATACTGGGTGGATCCTCCAATGGTTATAGGTGACAGAATGGGATGTAAAGTTCCGAGCTGACCGGCCTCCTAGGCTTGCCACGTTCAATAGTTGTGTATTAGTCTGATAGTATTCAAAGAATGGTGTGTTTCCCCATGCGTAGTTGCATTCCCATATTTCCTTTGAAGGCCAGTGAGACCCACGCCACAAACTAGTACATCAGTTGCGAGAATATAAAAGACTACATCTCCCCAGCACTGAATGGTGGTGTTATAGGCAAAATCCATCTCTCCCCTTTACAGCGGGAGCAAGACCAGAACCTGCCAAATTCGAACTAGGCTTTATCTGGTTAGTCCCTATTTCTCCGCAGTTATAACATCCACCCAGGGTATGTCGTACAACGAAAACCTCCAGTACTCCGCCATGGAGGTGATGGGACATACCAAAGTCCAGACCAGCGCCCCGCCCCGGGAATTGGTCACCGAGGTGGAAAAAGGTCTCTCCGGTCGCGGCCAAACGTAGTGTTAGGGCCCGTTACGTATGGAAGGGGGGATCATGATGCATGTGAAAGCTATTTGAAAGACGGAATGCAGGATGGTGATGTGTGTTATCAACGCGTGACGAATGTACAGAGCTTACATTCGTGGAAGTTCACTAGGCAGATCGAAAAAGCGATCGGAAGGCCCGCTTTTCTGCTCCACTAAGGCCCGGTCGTCGTCCACTCGTCCACTCTTCCAACCAGCTGGAGGATCAATGCCGCCCACCCGGTCCGAAATGGTGTCTCCGTCTTCCGAACCCTGTCGGGTGACCTGGAGGACCGAGTGACAACCTTGAAGCTCTATCCGATCTCCCACCACTTGTCGAACGCCGAGTTCGCACAGGAAAAGGGAACCCCGAGAACTTTCAATTTGCGATCGAACGAGGTACTGTTCGTGCGAGGAGCACTCAAAATGGAAATTTCACTTCCTGCTGGGGGATTTCTTGCGTGGCAAGGATTTTCGGAGGATCCGTGGGGGATGGATACGTCTGCCCCTGAAGCTCTTGCCTTTATGAAGATCTAGAGGGGGACTATCGAGTTGCTTGTTGAATCTGCATGTGCTGCATAGAGCATCTCTGTCGAAAATACTTTAGCTGGAAAATATAGCCAGATTGCCCATGTAGCTTACCGGGATAAATTCCATGGATACATTGGTAGTTGAGCCTCAGGCGAGTTAGACGTCGCGCCCAATGTGTGACATATGCAAAGTCACCGCCTCGCAGCATTTCCATTGTTCAGGCTTCTTCAGACAAGGATAGACCGCGCAAGGCGGGAAGGATGGATGACCAAAGGAGCGTAATTCCATGTCCAAATTCACGTTCAAAGCGCACCAGCCTGCGTCCATGTTGGAGACGCTTTTTGGTGTTGTGATTGTCAGTCAGTCCCTCTTCTTGGATAAACGCAGTCATAGTTCCGAAGCGATGGGGCCCTGAGCATGGCGTAGGTTTATTGCGTCCAGTCCGTTGGAGCCAATTTTGCTCCCGTAAAGCTAGGTTGGTCCATTGGTGGACATCTTGGAGCCGCTGCATCCAGTATTGGGTGTTCTTTCCCATTCCTATCAGCTCGGTAGCCCGCCGTCTTTCCCCTTGTCTTAAGATGACAATAGTCAAGTCGAGCCGGAGAAAGTGAATGAACAAATCCAACTGTATTGACAAGTCTGTTAACAGCCTTTCCGCGGTCGCTGGAGGCATGGTTGCTGTATGTTATCGACAGCGCGTGCCTAGATTCGTTGGGTGGAAGCTGTCATATAGCTATCCAGAAATGGTAAAGTTCAGACCGTACCGCAGGGATTCGGCTTGAGCTCTAGACGCTCAGGTGGAAATTCAATGTCAGCATATCTGGCTAGTGCGTCTCCCCTGAATACAAAAGATGCAATGGTCCCTGCCCTATCCATGGACCGTAATTGCCGTTCAAGCCCCAATTATATCTTGATCGTGTGATTGCAAATGCTCAAGTGGACCTTTACTCCTCGGCCAATCTCTCCGCATCCCATCCTGCTATCTACATCTTCCGATTCCTCCAGTGCTTTGGTATCCCAAAGGTATGAAAGAGGGGTGTTCCGTTCTGATCTGGCACATGCTGAACCTAGCCTTGGAGAACAAATGCTACAACAACACAGACCCCTAGTACACAAAAAATGATAAGGTTGCATAGCAAATGCGGCATTTTCAGTGTACTCCCGGGTTTGCAAAAAAGCATGGAGTTTTCCAGGGCCGGAAAGGGCTGCCCGGCCTCAACTCGTCAAAGTGTGGTCCATCAACTACACTTCCATTGAGGTGTTCAAAAAACCATTGATTGATACCTTGGAAATTGAAATGGCATTTGATGGGGCGGAGATTGTGATGAAAACCAAGACATATACCGATGTGATTGGGATGGATGGAGGCAAGGATGTAGTGGCACAATTTGGGCCTGTTTTTTTGATAAGGGATTCAACGAAGCAGAAATAGGGTATGTTTAAGGCTTTTGATTTTTTATGGCTGTGCACACTTGCCTACTGGTATGAACTTGAAGCCAGAGCTATAGGAGGACATTTGAAAATTTCTCAGTGTATGTTCATGTCGATAATCAATTAACACCACTATAAAATTTAGGCCACAGCGAATAATAAATCAATCCCACTTTACCAACACTCTACTTTGTCGCTCACATATGCGACGTATCACAACTAGAACACTATCAAGATATCGGTCTCTCCAGAGCCAGATCGGGACCAACAGAAAGAGGACAGCTTATGGTTGGCCATATTGCCGCATTGAACCCGATTTCCAAATGTTTGACTTAAACCGGGTTTTGCTAGCACTCTGTGGAGGGTATGAAATCTGAACCATACCATATATGGAATGTTCCAGCGCTAGAAACCTTCGCCCCCTTGCCACCTACGACTTCTTCTTTCGACATTTCATATTAGCCATGGTTGATTGGGTATGGTCTTTACGAACCGGAATGGAAGAGCAAGCCGGCTCCCTAGGGCGTAGCCACTGTCTGATGGTAATCTTCCTTGGGTAGATTACAAGGATTGGAGGAATTTGCTTCACCTAGATAGTATTCCTAGCTGCAAGATTGATGACCGGCGGATCACAGCATCAATCTCACTCTTAATGGACCCCATCGCTTGCAGTCCTGCCCTTTGTAAAATCAATCTGACCTGCTTATCAATCACGCTATATTCTAGACGGCTCTCAAGCACTACATAGGGAAGATATCAACCCTGACTTGTGCCTCTCAGCGAAATGCACGAGTATCCGATAGGTAGAAGCTTCCACAGAGCCTAAAGCTGTCGACTACCCGTATCAAGTCTTTCTCCCGCAGAAGTATTCTAAGAACTTGTTTGTACTCATATCGCGGTTCACACACTTGGCGCCCGGGCTAATGTTGACGTTGTTCATCTGGTGAATGGAGGCCGGCTCTTTTGCGCCGTTCCGTATACTTTCAACCTACATCAGAACATGAGCGGCCTGTCGAGTCAAAAGATTATCACAGGAAGTGGTAGCATACGACGCAAGGATTATGTTCAAGTGATCCAGATTCCCCGACAGCCGGACGCCGGTTGTTCTGCTTCGGCCGTTGTCTTGTTCCGTCCCCAATATTTTCAAGTGTACCGTTCATGATTGATCCGCCATCAACTACAAAGTTTGACATGGAGTGTATGGTGGTTTTGCCTAATGAGTTTTGTAATCAGGAGACACGTTCGGTGAAAGCATTAATGGTGGGTTGTGGAGGTACCTAGATTGATGTTTTGTTCGCCGTTCCGGTTACTCTCGAAGCCAGCAGAAGTAGGCTATTATATCATAAATTAGAAAATAGATATACATCAAGAGCAAGAACAGTTCAGCAGAAACATACCTTGTTGTTCTCAATTACCTGCGATTGCGCCGTTCCCTCCCCAGATAACCGTAATTCCTGATGGGAGGGTTGGTCTTCTCGAAGGGTTATCTCTGCTTTCTTATATGTGAGAGTCATGATAAGAAATCTTAGAGCCAAAGGCGAGAATCTTTTGAGTAGATAGTGATGAAACTGATGAGAGGGATATATGTGATGAAGGTGGAGATGAAAGAGGTCGGCCGTCTCTTCTACCAATTTAACACTCACATAACTCGTTGATACACTGTAATAACACTTTTATGGAATGTTTTGTAAAATTGCGGTGTGGGCCTGCAGCGAAAGTGATAGCCACTGGGGACGCCCGGCCAACATGACCGATAGGGTAAGAGGACGAAGGCCGAAGTCCACGGGCGTTCGCGGTATCAAGGTGCCGTGGCCAATGATGGCCAAGTCATGCTCCGCCTGTCTCAAACGAAAGAGCAGTATGATCGGCTAGACAATGCCAATAGCGTAAGTACCAAAGAAAATATTTCGGCAGAGTGTAGAAGGTGAAGGAAATATTCTGCCGAGGTCTGGCGTTCATTCCGAATGACGGATTCAACCCTAATGATGGTGAGTCTACCACTTTGCCAGTTCATACAGGGCTCGGCTACAGAATGGGCTGGTGAACATGGGCCAAGGATGTAGGCGAAAAGAAGGTTCAGACCAGAAAACTTGGGGTCGGTCCGGGTCACTTCGGAACGCCTATTTGAGGCAAGAGCGCCTATCCTTTGATCCACTGACCCCTTGCAAGTCTAGTTACTAAATGGTCTACTAGAGACTGGCGCAACTAGTGTCGTTCTCGCCAGGAGAGAGGACCAACCCCACGCACAGCAATACAGATCACGCCTTCCGATCCGCGCGTGCTCTTTGGCCTGAATGCAGGACACAAATTTCTTTCTACTCGTCCCACTAAAGTTTCTTCCAGGTAAGTCAACCCCGTGAGCTGTATCAAATTTCAAGATCTCACCCAACTCAATGCTGTGGCAGAATGTACCATGACGAAAACCCATCAAACATCAACAGGAGCTTCCCGTTCATGGGAGCCCTGACAGACTACCCCTACGGCGAAACATACACTCCATCAATGGACTCAATTTCTGTCATTGACCCAGCAAGCGGATATTATTGGGGATTTCAACAAGCGGAAAACTGGGTGGCAGCACCTGCATCTTCGACCATCACTCAACCTCGCCGGTCAAATTTCGGATATCGAGAAATAAGACCTCGACCGCCGGATAACCCAGCGCCCGCAGTACCCCCAAATGAGGCTCATAAAGAGGAAAAAAACACCCAGCACCGTGGATTAGGGCGAGGGATACACTCGAAGCGCCAAAGACAGTCGAATCACGAACAGGTTCAAAGGACAACCAAGAAGACGCGTCCAGCGATATGCGAGGCTGCTGAAACGACCAAGCAACCAGTGGTCATTGATAAAATGAGGTTTGCATGGTTCTAGTTCCGAACTAGCGTTTCTTGCAATGGCTAACTGGACTTTTACAGCACGGCGAAAAAGCCGCCAGCGCCGAGATACGATTCAGCCACGAAGGGCCCATCCTCTTGGCCGCCTGATCAACCAATAGATCAACAAGAGGGGACTTCTAAATGCCCAACACAGGCTGTTCAGGAAGCCTTGAAGGTTCAGGTTTTGCAATCAATCAAGGTGTTGCGCGAGATCGCCAGGAGCTTCCGTGAATTGAATCTGGAACTTGAGACAATCGATGGTTGGATAACAGAGATCAAAGGTGCTGACACAACACTAATTCCTGTTTCTTCAAGCACTGTGGCTCAGGTTATTGTCCCTTTCCAAAGCCTAAGTCTGATTCTCACGGAATGCCTCACCGGTTCAGGTCCCATGCGAGGCTTTGTTATCAAAAATCAGGCGCTCGAGTTGTTGGAATATATACACACATACGCGGGGGAGTACCACTTATTCCAGAATAAACGGGTCTATCTTGAGATTGGTAGATGGATAGAAAGACTTCACCCAGGCAGCCATGATGAGCAAGGCGAATGATATGATTCTCCCGGAGAGCGCCAATAGTCTGTTGCTCTTTCCATATAATCTTCTACCAGCTTTTGTTTCCACATTCAAAGACAGTTAACCCTTGTGAGGGTTTTGCTTAATGTCCCATAGTCAAGATGTTCAATGCCGTTCTGGCCGTATTGAGACATTGCATATTGCAACTCTGCCTTTTCTAGCCCGATTTCTGAGACGCTGCTCGGAGTGTCCCACATGCCCGCTCCTCTCAGTGCTATTGCTCTTTCTTGGGGGACAGAATGTATATTGTTCCGTCCAACAACCCTGGCTCCAATAGTACATCTTCAGTGTTTACTGGCTCCACCGTGACGGCTTCCAATATTGGGATGCAGAGATACGTTTAAAGGACTCCTGTACACTTCACATCACCCGCACTGCTTTGTAGATTTGATAACAAGAGTATGCTTGGTGCACAGTTTCATCGTTCGCCCTTCCCATTTGTATGGTGTGCGGTACACTTGATCGGATCGACTCGTTCGCGTAAGCACCCTTCTAGAATGTCAGACTATTAGCTGGTGAGTTCCACAGTAGATAGGCAATGAAGGATTTCACAGAATGGCTTGCGTTATGGCTTCCTCGCTCAACGTGTGATTTCATCTGGCGTTCGTTCAAAACCCTGACTAGTGCCTGTTTGACAAGCCGGTAGGAAGCCAACTCTTCGTATACGGAGCAGGAGGCCAGCTGACTCTAGCAATATGTGGGTCAGTCTGCAGGAACTTAGTAGATGCGAGAAGATAGAAAGGGGAAGTAAGTCTGGGTGAAGAATCGGAAGCGGACGTCTAGTACGAGCTCGGACACATCGACAACCAAGAGAGACCTTTCTTGACTTGCTCTCCAACAGCAATCCTTTTACCAGTACTGCATCCGTTGGCTGTACAGGCATGCAGTAGCATCTTGAAGGATTTGCAAAGTTCTTCGCTTGCGTAGCATTGGCTTCGGGTGCGATCGCTGCTCGAAAGGTGTCGGATAATGTTTTCAGTGCATGTGGGCTCTTTCAAGGGCACAAACGGCCTGAATTCATTTGAGTTGGTATATGTTGTTGTTGGGTCCTGGGAATGCGAGGTAGGAGGGTTGGGGAAAGGAGAAATGTATTACTGAGTGTCTGTTTTGGGTAAAGCACATTTGGGTCGTCTGCTCGCCACCCTACCCTGGTGCACCCAAATATCCTGCTACCACCCATCCTACCATCAGTCTTCCTACCAAAAGACATAATGAATGCCTATGCTGCAGGTTTATTTTCTCTCTTTGCTTTTCCGGTAATTTGGAGCTTACTGAACCCTCCCCACTCAACAACAGATGAGGGCCAGCTTCATCGCCCATAGCGCGAGAATTGCTTTTCTTTTCGATCACAAAACCTACCTGATTTCAAGAGGCGGACTTGATCAGTTCGTCTTTGCCTACCAATACGCTTGACATTATTGATGCTTCTACTGATGAGCCTTCACACCAGATAAGATGGACGCCCTAGAAGATCTCTCATCCGGCTGCATAGGCCCCTCCAGTGGCTCAATACAGACTTTACAATTCAGCATGTCTATTGCCTCGAACTCTCTGAAATGGGCGACATATTCCATGGGGATAGCGTTCATGGCTACCAATTGTTTCCGACAAAACCCTTGAACTCCTTTTTGGTAACGCCATCCGCGCCATCACTGCATCCCAAATATCGCTAGAGCCCAACTTCATGCTGAAACGACCGCGATGACGAAAGCTCCGAGAGAAAGAGACGTTTTGACTCTTGGAGACTTCGAAAAAATAAATTGCGACACATGCGCACAAAAAGAGAGAAGTGGTGAGTCAACACCAGATCAAACGGAGGCGGGCTTCAACATCCTCTGTTTAGCTAGGGCTGAGGGAGCGAAGTTGGAAGAACCAGTAAAGCCTTTAATGCTTACAGGAATTGAAGTACTAAGTCAGACCATAGTGAGTCAGTTCAAAAGCGAACCTTCGGTCAAAATACGAACTGCGACCTGAGCTCCACGAGCAACCCCCTCCGCACCTCATACACTTTCATCGGTGAACGACCTTTCAAGCCCGACAGGAGATTGGCCGCCTCAGTTTCCTGACCATACCTCTACATTTACTTTCACTAGTCGGCCAGCCTACCAAGCCGGACTGCGCTTGTTCCTTGATTAAGAAGATCCTCTGGATCGAGGAATACATATTGACCAAGTTGGTCCCCGAGGTCAATTTCTATCCGAATTGCAGATTATTTTGCAAGCACCCATTCACTACGGGTGTTGAGCATTACACAAGGCTATATGACGAAGTAATTGTGATTTTTGGACGTCATGGCCTTGATGCGTATGTGAGATAGATGGCAGATGTTGAAAGGGAGAATCCTTGAGGGACTCTATCTGTACCAGCATGATCTGCGGAATGAGCGTGGTCATATATCCTCGCCCGGAAATTGATGTTTCAAGGTTGAAATTCTTCATGGCCGGTCGACGGTCGATACAGATACTGATCCCACGACACTCCCTTACTATGTCGTACTCATGCGTTCTCAGATATTTGAGGCATCCGGCTCTACATTTGTTGGATTCAACGTAAGCTCAACAGCCACCATTGATTTGAGTGTTGTCCGACCAGACTAGTATTTCCTCGCTTCACGATAGAACCGGATGTCTAGCCCCAGTTGAGACTGCATTGACCAAAATGGCATTGTGTGCTGAAAAAAACATGGAAGGTTGGCATGCACGCTTGGCAGCCTCCTACGGTATCATCAGCCTTACCTTCAGTGCGTATTTTCTAATATAGAAAGACCAGGGTCAAGTATGATTGGATCTATCATTGGCTGCTTCTGCATGTCCATGAATTAAGAGTCTCCCACTGGCTTCTGTCTGGGCCAAGGTCCTGTTCAACAATGTCCTTTTAGCACTTGATTCATTTTGGGTCCCTTCCGTCAAATAGCGCTGCCTGGCACCTTGAGTTCTAGACACATCCATATCTCAAATCGGGCTAGATCGGCGCCAGTACAGGCTTCGTTGGTCAATCGATTCCCAATAGGTAAGATAGAGATACCATTGGCCGGTGAAATTTCAGGGGTTCGATGGCTAGCTTGGCACTGTGGGAACCCTACTCCAGGACTAGGTTCCTGGGTCAAATAAATTAAGGGTATCGTTATGCCTTGATGTCTGATCACTTCTGCCATCTTCTACTACCGCCTCCTAATTCCGCCCTCGAGCTCTGGCTCTGTTGACGAGCATGTCGCCATCACCTAGCTTGGAGTCGTTACCATTTGACATTCTCTTCCAAATAGCAGCCTACCTTGACGTCCGAGACTATATACACATCAGTCACTCGAGCCATTCAATGTTCAGCTCCATGAAAAACACCATCATTGCACGGGCTACTGTCAAGGTGAGCAATAACGAATGAGAAAACAGAAGTTTTCCACCCACTATGGACCAACTCACAGTGCTGATTCTTATCTAGAATACTATGCTTCATAGTAAAGAAGGACAAGCGGCTTGGGCTGGCGAGATCGGCCACTATCAGGCCATCCAGCATCGCTTTGATATTCATGAAGCGGTTGCCACTGCGTCCCCATATTCTGTTTCAGTGCTGGCCTATGCCACAGACTTCTTGTACCACCAAGGCTTTCTGTGTTATCGATTCAAAAACCAAATTCGTTTGCTGAATGTACACGGTGCAGGCCAAAAAGAGCGTGTTTTGGACCTCGACCATGTGGTGCGTCGCATTATCGGAATTGGAAACGTTCTTTCGGATTTGGGAGAACAAATCACCCTTCTACGGTTCAGTTCCGGGATCTTGATCCTTCTGGTCAATCAAACCAACTCAAATGAGGGTATTCTGATCGCGATAGATTTACAATCCCACCCAGGCCAGGCTCGACGGAGACGTTTGCTTCTCCAAGAACCAGTCTCCTCTTCGGATCCAATTTTGTTTGTCCGACATACCAGACTGTATATCTGGTGCGGCACTTTTACTCTCGCCAATGGCCAAGAGGTTGCATGGCAAGTATGGGGCACGGACTTTAGAACGCTTCAACGCACCGAGTTTCCCGTAGAACGTGCTGTCGATGGCGAGCTCGACAAGACAATATGCTTCGAGGTCTACCAAGGACATCTTTATATGGTATCAATTATAGACGACCGAGAGTCTTCCTTTTACCACTGGTCTTGCTACGCCCCGAACCGTGGAAGCAAGAAGGGCAACGGACGGCTTTGGCGCCGTGATCATCGCGAGGGTCCTATCCATGAGATGTGGGCTGATCTCTCCATACAAGTGGATGAGAAAAATGGTCTACCTGTTATCCTCGAATGCCGCCGTGAATGGCTCGACGGTGGAAGCGAAAACCATCGTACCTACTACACTACGCCTCTTCCGACGCCAGACGAAGCCCTTGCAATGCAACCAGCAGAGGGGCTTACCCACCAGGGTGGTCTAGTTGATTCGGATGATGAGCACAGAGAGTCAACGGAAAAGCGACAGGCTCGCGACTGTCACGCTGAACATGAAACAAGCGATCCTCTGGACCAACGATTCGATTTTATCCCGGCATATACTAGGTACAGTAGCTACCACTTGGCGGCGGCGACCTATATTGATCTGGTCAATGATCCCAAGTCCCAAGCTGATGGGGTGCACTTCCAACACTGCTTACGGCTGCGAACGAAATCACGAAATCGCGACCGTTCTGATGAAAAGGGCGTGAGACGATACCGTAGTCCGCTGTCAGATGCAGGGCAGTCGCAGACAGACGGGCCTTCGGAAGGAGTCTCTGAAGGTTATTTTCACGCCCATGGTGTTTATTTATGGCCACCTGTGAATGCTCCCTCAAGGCTGCTGGACCTACTGTGCCCAGATAAGTCAACGAGTCTTGTTCGAGCTGTTTGTGATGAGCGGTCGCTTATATACTCTACCTCTGCTGAGGGATTACCACTCCATCACCGTATGCTGGTTCTCATCAGCTTCGACCCTATGATACGCCTTCCTTATCTGACCTCCCTGTGCAATCACAAGGCCAGTACAAATTCAATCCGAAAAGTCCTTGATGCACCGCGGCCTGGTTTTCAATTTTCCCGCCCTCTCGTACACAATGCGGACGCATTTCACCTAGCTATTCGTCAAGGCTATCGACCATGATACAATTTCAGCTCCCGAATCTCATGCTCAAGGGATAAGAATGGAACCATGCTATGGTAAATTTGTGGCATGTTTTCTTCTCTAGTATTATTTTGTTGGGTCTATCGGCGTGATGAAGGATGTTTTTATCACGCGGATTACCTATTGCTCTTCGTAGCTTGGAAAAGGGTTCTATGTTGAAATCCACTTAACCCTGCTCACTAATGGGATAATTGGCAAGAGGGCCAGCCTTGCCGCTCGGTTGATGCCGCTGGTTGGGCTTGGTGATGGACCAGGACCGTGCAATGAGCGGATGTTCACGGGACTTTTTTACGGAGTTATAGATATGGGACCTTGCTGAATCTGTGTCTTTTGGAAACTAACAGCCAAGTCCTGTTGCCATGGGTATGTACGGATCTGGAGTGCCAAACAATCTATGGGAATCTCGGTGGATCCAATGTCAGATACTTTACTTTCAATAATAACTCATCATATATATACAATAGTTCTGTCAACAGGTGGATATGGAGGCCGCTGAGGAAAGAGTTCTATCTGGGCATTTGATTGCTTTGCTCCTAGAAGCTCGACTGATCGTACACTGGTGAGAAAAACATGATTAATATTGGACGACTCAACGGTGAACCACGGAGGTCAACGAAGCCAACAGGAAACGCGAGTGTGCCACGGAGTATAGTTTTCAGTGCGTTTAGATCTGGTCGGGATGTTCAGTATCAATTCTTGCAGTAATGAGCTCTTTGGAATGCTGTTGATAATATGTGCATCAGAAGCATAATAAGCCGTTATTTGCACGCCCACGGTGATTGGTTGCCTTCTTTCCCTGAAAACTAAGCTTCAAAGCTTGCCCTGTCGTCAATATATTTGCTCCCTGGGCTTGAAATGTCTTTGGAATAGAAAGAACCTTTGCGCCCGCTACTTCCAGCTCTGTCTTTGTCAAAGTTTTATGTTGATCCGCATCTCGCATCAACCAAATGTGTTTGTCGCGCTGTGACTTACAAAGCATTTTCAATTGCAGCCTGTACAAAGGGATCTGCGGGTGTGTTTTCAAACATATACTACATGTTGTCAGTTTAGAAGGGAAACAAGAGAAAGTGTCCATATACCTAGGTCAAATTTTTCAAAAGCCTCAGTTCCATCCTGTCGGTTTTGATAGACTTTTTCTCAAATCGCCCGTCAAATAAGATAATTTTTCCAAAAGATATTCTGAACGTCTTGTGATGGAAGACCAGAGACCCCCGGAAGAAGCACTTGGAAATGTAGATTTACGAGAACTTTGTTCTGCAAGATTGGCAGCTTTGCTGTGAAAACCCTCAGTAAGTGACTGATCTAAACTCCAATCTTATTAATGAGACAAGCGAAAATCTGGGTTTTCGGCGGTATTTTTTGTCATTTTCCAGGCCTTTCGAGTCTCGATATAGTTCGTTTCCGAATGAAAGCTCCGTAACTTGTGCAGTTAACTTACTAGGAAACGAAGTGATCGGGTTGTTAGATCAAAGCTAAAAGTAAGACATAAAGTCAATGTCGAAAACATTGGAAGGTACAGGAAATAAAGCTGTTAGGAGGAAAGCATACGTTTCATATTAACAGGCTCACCGTTTGAAGGTCCGGCTAGCTCACGGCAAGAACCCATAATTGTACATTTATCAATGATTAGGTAAACTCATCCATGTAGAGGCTAATACTTTGGCAGATGATACCTTGCCAGGCTGTGCGGGCTACCACTTGGGGAATCATCTGCAATTGACACGGGTATTCCATGTTCTGTAAGGAGTACTCTGTAGATGACGGTCTGGACTTATACGCAGAAACAGGCCTTTTTTGTCCCATACGAGAATGGATACCTTATTGGCACTACTTTTTTTCACATAGGAATTTTAAAAACAAATTATTCCGTCTTCCATACTCCGCAAGTGATAGATTTTGAGGGAGAAAGACCGAAGAAAGAACCGATTGAATTGACTGATCAGGGAGAGAGAAGAGGGAAGGAGAGAAAGCCTATGGAAGGAGGGTTTATCTACAGCAAACAAGGGTTGGGGCAAACACCCATCTCAACAATAGAGCCTGTCACAATGCCTTGTGAGGATAGCTCAGATGAACTCAGTTAACTCGATCAGCGCCGTTTCCGACAAAATAACTCCCAAAGAGACCATTTATTTACATATCCCTAACCGCAAAGTTATTCGATTTGTTAGGAATAATTAGAGATGAGAGTACGGAGCACTGTGGGCATCAAAATTCGCGTCTGCCATCGATATCTGGGTAAGCAGTTCAAATAACTCCAGAGCTTTCCCGTGGACTTTCTAGTGGACTGGCCCGGGTTTTTTGACTTCTTCCTAAGCGGGACCGGCCCCATGGACCTTATGAAGGACCTACGGCTCACAAGCATCTAGACCATTAACATTACCATTAGAGAATAGATTGTAATTGTGTTTTCAACCACTTGGCAGATTCACACTTCTCATCCAAGTTTGGTTCATCAAAGCCACAGATTTGAACCGACTTGATTCCACTCATAGAAGAACCAAGTTGGAGGATTCTCAAATCGAATTTGGTGTCTGAAGTCGGCACAGTAAACAGTTCCTCGTCGAAGTTAAGTCGTAATTTGTTTGATTCGACGGAACTGTTTCAGTAATTGAATACATATTGACGTCTGAAACTCGGGCTCCCCCTCCGAGCCACTACTACTGAACCATGCTAGCTCTAACCATCCGACGTTGTTGCGGCCAACGGTACCGATCGAAAGCGCAAATTTGATAAAATAATCAATTTCTGACCAGCGAAAAGAGATGTTTCGGTATACCAAAGGGAGCGCCTCGTGACGTATTTGCTTGTCAACGTGGAGAGTATTGATAGAGGGGCTGGATGGAAAGTAGAATCCACTCAAATCTCCAATAGAGGCGGGGAAAATCTTCTCAAGAAGGACAGATGGATCTAGTGCTTCCTTTAGACTTTCAGGGATAGTATGATCATAGATCATGTTCCGAAGTTCCCGTAGGAGCCGTAGACATGGACCATGTTCTACCTTCAAGTAATTGGTTTGAAACTTCATTTTTTCAGTAAATAAAAAGGCATGTTCCAGAAAGCGCATAAAGGGATCGGATACCTTGGACAACATTTGAACTTCAAGCGCCTCAGTGCTAGTCAATGCGAAGAGACGATTCAGTCCAAAAGAAAACGTGAGATGTAACGAGTATTGAAAATATCCAACGCTTCTCTCATGTTTCAAGACGAGGCTCTGTTCATCACCAACAAATGTCTTCTGGTGTTAGACAATTCATGCATGAGAATACTTCAAAGTGGACGTAGATGAGTTACATACATGACTCCGGCCAAGCTTTTGAAGTGAGCTTTCTAAATTCCTGAATGGCCCGAGCCCTTGGTGTCTAGCTTTTCGGTGGAGCACCATGTGTAACACAAATGATATGTACCGTTATATTGAATCTGAGACGTCAATACCACCAACGCTCCCATTCCTTCGAAAAGTCCTCGAATCCGCGTACCCCAAGTGACTCCTGAACTTCCCCACGCCACCAGTGCTCTTCTTCCACAGAACCTGGAAGATCCAATCCACTGCTTGTTCGAAACTTTGTTCGGATCCATCCTCTAGGGAAGTATCCAGCAGTCTCCCAGTCGATGATTCCAACAGATCCAGTGTCAGGGATATTTTCCACAATAATGTTACCAGGGCCCAGGTCGGCATGGTAAAAGACGAATTCGGAGCAGTCCATACCCATCGACTCACATGCTTGTCGAAGATTCCCAGCATGATAATTGTAATCAGCCCGTACTTGATGAGATACTGCTCGGGTACGTACTTTCCATCCACGCCCCCAATCGTATCGCCTTTCCAGCACTCGAGTTTCGCAGATTTTCACCACGGCGTTCACGTAGTGATGTTTCCATTTCTCATCTAGAGTGGGCCAAGCATTTGCGAGGGTTCGGCCTGGCACCCTGCTAAGGAAAAGGTAGGAACGACCGTCATGTTCCGCTTGGTGCAGAATATTGGGTGTATCAAAGCCAGGTTGTTGTTTTTGAACAAACCCTAGTGTCGTAGCTTCTCGAGTTGTATCATTGACTCGTACTTTGACCTTACAGAAAGTACTGTTTCCTAAGGACCACACTGCTGAGCGGTTCCCAACGTCGTACACTAGCACAATGTTTGGATGATTCGGAGGCAGCGGCACGAAAGGGGGCGCAGGATCGGGCGCATCGGTGAGGATGTAAATTAGATCGTCGCCGCGATCGTACCACGTTGCGGTATCAGAATATCCGCTTGAACGATGGAGAATAAGGGCACCAATGAGCCACGTGTTTTCATCAACCTGTTTGATTGACTCCCTGACAGGGTCCTCCATTGTGTGAGGCTGCTTCCAATATAAAGCTGAGTCCTTCTCGTGCAATACGTGAATATGATTGGAATTTCGTTTACCCTTTGGTAAATTTGATCTCGAGATGTAAAAAAAGTCGACGTGTGAGTCGGGTTGTGAAGAGCTGCTGGAATCCACAGCTAAATATATGCCCAGAGCACGGAGCACGGAGCCCGGGTAGGTCGCGGAGCAACCAAACATTTTCGCGAGCGCGCCGCCAAGCCGCAATGGTGCAGCTTAAGAAACCATACACATCAACTTTATGTTACCTTAAGACCCTGTCGACTGTTATAACTTGGCATAAATAAACAGTCAGACTAACTTAACAGGCCCCACTGTGCAATTGCCTCTTAGCTGGCCCTATTCTCCGACTTTTTTCAGACTTTTTTTAGGAAAGTCGAAGATGCTTGATCTTTTCCGATCTCTACGAAGCTATTTATACCGGATGGCAATTCTAATGTTCGTGTGTAAAGTACCTTTTCGACCGGTGACGGGTGAGGTGTTGAAATGAACCCTCACGCCATCTCGAAAAATTGTCAATTGGACAGGCTGTCGATGATTGGCGGTTCAGGCGGCGAACCCAAGGTAATACTGTAACAGGATAAACATCAGCCATGAGGTAAAATCCAAAGGGTA